AGCTTCCAGCGCGCCTGGTGGTGGGGATGCAAAAATACCTCTTGCCAACTGAAATGACCCCCCCCCCCCCCAAAAAAAAAAAGAAAAAAAAGAAAACAGCATGCAATACTAGAGGGAGTCATTAAAAACTTGCCGTAGAGGGCAGTAGAAATAAAACTGTTATGATCCATTATCAGTGGTTGGAAACCTAGGCAATGTTATCAAAAGGTTAACCTTGGCTGAGATGGCTGTCATAAATTAATGGTCATATAAAAGCCTGCTTCAAGTTCATGCTCTCCTCTACTTAGAATTTCTACAACTGTGCTCAAGGAATAACTGTAAAACTTTTTCATCACAAACAACAATCATTTCAATATTTTCACCAATTTTTTTTAAAAGATGAATAATTAGAGTATTTAATGCTGTGCTAATTTGTTTGAGAGAGTTTATCTAAATGTATCCCACCACCTACACATGCATTCAGGAGACTTTTCATCTGTAAATCATGACTGAGGGCAGGCACTAGGACCTGCAGCTTTGTGCAGCCACAGAGATCCTTTAGCCCCTAAGAAGCTTTTCACTTTCTTTCAGAACAATTTTCAAACAAGTGCAAGACTCAGATAGGAGTGTTTGAAATAAAATGGTTGCTTAACAGTCGGGGGTTCTCTGGAACTGGAGATATAAACTGGAATATATTTCAGGAAGCTTCAGGAATCCTGCATCTATAAGAGACAACAGACCTACTTTAAAGGTAGAGTTTCTTTTTCCACTTTAAATAGAATACATGAATTCACTGTGACATACTGCTCTATGAAATAAATCACTAAAAAGCACATTAATAAGTATGTGAGGAAGTTTTGTGAAAACACTGAAGAGGAGTAATGCTGTCATACACATAGTTTTAGATGATCAGTTTTATTACATGTTGTAAATTAATGAAATGTATCTGCCATCTCCTCCCATCTCTTTTTGGCATAGCCACATCATGTTACAATAGTAGCCTTCAGACCTGCACCCATCTCTAGCAGTTAGGTAATAATTCTCATGCATTCCTGCAGATAGATGTATCTAAATGTCATGTCAGGTTTTAAACAAGAAGCTAGCTGTAGGGCAGTTGCCTCAAATTATGTATACCCACAAACTTAGAGCAAATTATTGCATACTTCACATAAAAGTCAGCTATTAGAGTCAAGATGACTTCAGTGGGTGTGCTTGGAAATTTTATCAGATCTTTAACCATACATATGGAAGCCTTTATTGTTGCAGAGAAAATCGCTGAAGTTCCTCATGCTTACTCGGGTTATTTTGCCAAAAGTACTTTGCTTACAGAACGTTTGTCTTCACATGAGCAACATTAAAAGTTTACTCAGCTTTGTGCTGCACAACATGATTTTCCACTGGCATGAAAAAGAGGATGGTGAACTGAAAGAAAGGCTTCTCTGCACACCAATAACAGAAGCAGTGAGTGGTCGGTTTACAGCGACAAAGACAGACAGATCAGAGGGGGGTTGAGTGCTGGTAGCAAGTTGGTTTGGGTGACAGAAATTATTAGGGATATGAAATTTTAAAGGTACATTTAGAATTTTGTTGTCAGTTTCTTGTCTTAAATAATTGTGGTTGATATTTTCTCAAAAATAAAAAACACAGCAGACTTTGATGCTCTGCAGTAAGAAGCAAATTGTTTCCTCTCTTGCAACATCTGTGAAATATCAGTGATTTATTTTTTTTTTTTATCATGCCAAAGCACAAAGTTGCGGTTTAACTTTTACTTGCCAACCTACAAAACATGATACAATGTGGCTCCTTGAATCCAATTTTCTTAAAGGATTTTGTGTTGTCTGCTTTGAAAAACATAACTGTCTAGACATCAAAGCCCAGTTGAGAAAACCACAAGATGCTCTTGCAAAACTAAACTGGCAACTATCGATCAGATGCTTAGAGAGTAACTTAATATCCTTACCGCTATCTCAAGTATGCCAAGTATGCAATAAGTTTTGTTCTTAGTATGCATTTCACTACGTGTTTGATTTATGGAGCGTGGCTCACCAAAAGCCATATGTGTTTGCACATATAAATACCATTTATCTCACTGTGAAGGTTAAATAGTGCAGCTACAGCAACTAAACAGGCCTGAACCTCCTAAATGAATAGCCTATAAGGTGATGGGACCTTGTTGCTGGTTATTATCCTCATCCGGCCTGTTTGAATATACATTACTGAGATGTGACAGACACTTGAGTATTGAAACACATTAAAAGGGAGTAAAAATTAAATGAAATGGAACAATTATGAACATATTTAATAGAAAAATCTAAATAAATTGATCATGTTTTATTGATTTGCCTCTCTGCTATTCAGCAGCATAGAAATGTACATCCGAATAGCAGCATGTTTTGTTATGGATGAGAAGTTGAGCGAGATTAAAATTTGATTAACAGGTTAATCAGTCTTAAAAGAGCCAGAAAGTAAACCAGAATCAGTTTTTGTAAAAGGCCGCTCACACTGCCACTAACTTTGCAGGAAATTTCTTTCAATTAGTGGGGAGATCCTCTTTCCAATGTTGCTGAATGCATGCTTGGTAAGAGGGATTGCTGCAAAATCAATGGCTTATTTCAAACACATCAAACTGCTCATATTCCTTAAACAGTAAGAAGTCTATCTGGTTTAGGAAAGGAACTCGGGACTGCTGAACTTAATCCGGAATGCCTTCAGCATTATGGACATCACTACGGGATGGACATGTACCTAGATAATGCTGGCCAAACTGGGACTACAGGCTTCCAGAAACAAGTTACACAAATGTAGTGAACGGATTGAGTTCTACATATAAAACCCAAGACCTATTAAGACCCATATATTTACATGTTTCACACATAGTACATTTCACAAAATTATGCATTTTTTGTTAACTCAGTGAGGTGGGTTGTGCCAACACATCCAGTCATGCAAAGGATTGTGGGTAAATGTATAGCTCCTATGGGGTAAACAGAAAGCTCAGGAGTTCCCTATATACTAAATGAACTACTGATAGGAAGCATCCTACTTCTTCCTCCCATCTCCTTCCATACTGCCTGTACTATTAGGACAGCCCTTATCTTGGTAATCACTGACACACTTCTGCTCTGGTTAAAGTGTCCTTAACGATTTGAAGTACCTTTAAGAAGCAAATCGTTGAGCCATCCAGAAGGACTGAATTCTGCAAGTCTGTCACTCGATGCAATCTGCTGAGTTTCCTTAGATAAAAATAAAACTCCAACCAATCTGCCTATATCATTTGAATTAATTAAAGTGCTTTGAGATGATTTGGTGAAAACTGATGCTGTAGAAATAGATTGAATTTAATTTAATGGAAATGAACTGAACTGAATAACATTAAATGAAATTTAACTGAATTGAATTTATTGTTTTGTTATAATTTTTCATATCAGGATTTTTGTTTTGCAGCCCTATTACGCCAGGCATGCCCAGCTGTCCTGCTGGTTTTTTGAGGTTTCCCATCTTTAGCACAGCTGATTCTGATGATTGCAGTTCAACTAAAGCCTGTTAATCAGCTTTTAATGGAAATCAGCTGTGCTGGAGCAGGCAAACCCTGCAGGACAGCGATCCTTTAGGACCAACATGCCTGAATTACGGTATGCTCAATATTCAAAATTAAATGTTTACTTCAATGCTAGTGAATACTCAGTAGTATATCAATAGTGTATTTACACCAAGAACATTTTGATAATAGCACTTAGTTGTTTGCAATCAACATTTTTGCCATGGTGAGCTGCTACGGCCTGCACTTCCCTACATTCCAAGGGTTCTTATAGCGGATGTTTTTTAGGAATGGAAAGTTTATAATTGTTCCTCAAGGCCTTGTGACTGTAGTTGAAGTTCCACACCCTGCACTCAGAGTAGAGTGAGCTGGAGAAAGAATTTGTCAAATGTATGTTTTACTTTACAATTTTGACCAAAGAGTCTAATCAGTGTGGCTTTCATGTTATTATTAGTTATAGTTCTTTTTTAAAGTACAAGAGCAAATCTGTTGAAGTAATCTGAAAACTTAATTCCTGAACAAAAATATCCAGTTTGTTAACATGTTTATAATGTTGGGGCATTTGTTCAAAAAAAATAATTGCCACCTTCCTTAAGTATAATGTATATGAAAATACTGAAATGTTTGCTGGTGGAGCTTGAAAAAGGATAAAGTTTTTTTTCCATAAAGTATTTAAACACTTTAATTTAAAATATGTTTTAACTTCAGTGTAAATTTCATATTAAAAGGAACATTTAGTGGATAATCCTTTTCTACTGATGTCAGAAAGAGCCTGACAGTAATTACCCAGCATTACAGAGGACTGTGTTCCTCTTACCTTCACGGTCATCAAACTTGACTATCCCTCTTTCAAAAATAATCATAGCAGCATCTAACTTTCCACAAAAACATGTCTGATCATCGCTTTAAGCCTCAGGCCCAGTTTAAAAAACTGGGTGCTCAATTAAAAACACAAAAAGAACTAAAGGCTACTGTAAAAGCCCCTTATAGACCTACAGACAGTTATCTCCCTTAATAAGTCAGAGATACTCCCCTCTTGCATTGCATGCTCATGGATAGAGATCAGCACATACAGGAAAACTGCATCTCCAAGAGTTAAAACAGGCCTGTGCCTGAACAGCATTGTCTCTCTTCGAAGTGAAGCACCCCTGCAGGCTCACATATTTCATCATCCTGGGATGAAAAGTACAAGAAGGCCACACACAGTTTCACTGTTTTTGTTTGTGCACACCAAGTCCTATCACCCTGAAAATCACAGAACAGCAATCCCCGTGTAACTTTGTCTCACAAAATTATGTTCAGTATTTACATCACTGTACTTTGCTACATGTATAGTTTAAATGAATGATTTTTGTACATGCAATTATATTGTCATATATATATATCCTTAAGCCTTCAGCCTAAAACTGACATCATTGGTAAATGCTGAAAAGTGCAGTAGTCTTTTAATTTATATCCCTGAAATGCAATTGTCATGTTTCAAGCTAGAAATCTTTCTAAGCTGCCAAGTAAAAATGTAGGGAGAAGGAAAATCTCGTCTGATTGAGATTGTAAAACCATCCCCAAGTTGATGCCTAACGAACAGACTAGTTTGAAAAAAAAGGTCTTAAAATTGTTTGCCACGCATAGAAACAAAAATACACACTGCCACTTTCATAGTGTTACTTTGTTTACGTTGCACAACAGCAGAAGTGCGTTTATTTAGAAAAAGAGCAAACCATAATGCAGGGATGGGCAAGGCAGAAGTGTTGAAATAAATGGCTTCTGCGAGTGTTTTGGCTTCATGAAAATAATTTGGACTGGCAATAAATGTAGGGGGAAAAAAATGGTATCATCTGGAAAAAAGTCTACAAGAAAACCAGAGACATTTGTTTTTTGAAAAAAGGTGACTATATAATTAAGAAGCTGTATGCCACATGGTTTTACTCAACGAAAATAAGGTATCATAATAATGGACATATCTAAAGCACCAAAAATTATATACTTTTATATGATAATGTTTTGTTTTTCATCAAGGATATAATCAATAAGTTTATATCCTTCTCAAATTTGAAGAGCCTTAAACAACTGCAGAATTTAACAATCATTAATGAACACGGAGAAAAGCTGATAAAAAAAAAAGTGCTTTAATGTAGCCTTATGCAAATGTACTTCCTCACACCACTTTTCTGGTGATAACATTATAATACAGAAATATTTAGTCATGTTCTTTC